ATTATCATTATTAATTATATTGTGATATTAAGTTATTATTATATTAATAAATATGAATCTGAATTTTAAATTCCACAGACATAGAGACACACACACTCTCACACTCACAGTCTTGTACAACCAATTTGGTCCTTGATTGGGATTGCATTGAGTCTATAGATCAGTTTGAGGAGAATTGATCTATTAATGATATTGAGAATAAGTTTTGGTGTTTAAAACTTAAGTACATCAAAAATTATACTTCTAATTAGGATTTAAAAGAGCATAAGACCTCTGCACCTGTTGATTTGAATCTTGTTTCTTTGTTGATAACTGTTTCTTTCTTTTTATTTTTTCTTTGTTTTAGTTTTGGGTTTCTGAAATGTCAAGAGGCTATGAGTACTTTTTCCACATTAATTGGTACTTGGTGATGTCTTTCCATATAAAGTGTTGAATTTTTAGTTCAGGGAAGTTTTCTTCTATTGTTTTTTTCTTTCATGGCCTCTATTCTTTTATTTTGGGGCTCACTTGAAATAATTCTTGGACATTTTCAATCTATACAGGAATTCTCCTAATTCTTTTCTCATAATTTCCATCTTTTTGTCCCTTTTCTATGTGTTCTTGGAGATTTCCACGATTTCATTTTGTAAATTGATAGGGTGGTTTCGGCCATGGCCATATTATTATCCATCCTATTGTTAAAAAAAAAAATTAAAGTGAGTAGATTTGAAGATCTAATTGGCTTTATTAAATGATTCATGAATTGGGAAGCATCTCTTCTAGCAAGCAGAGAGATACTCCAAAGAGTTGTATAAAATGGGGAGGTTTTTATAGGCAGAAGGAGGGTGGGGCAAGGATGTTGTAAGCAAAAGAAAAGAAAGGATTATTTGAGGCCAGGACATCTTCTCTTTAGGGGGAAGGGAATGGCAAGGGTTTTATCAGGCAGATTGCTCTTCTTCTTCTGAGGGATAGAGAGGGCCCACATGACAGATTACCTCATTGGTAGTGACCAGAATATTCCAGACTAGTTGATTAAGATTACATTTCTGCAGAAGGTCAAAACTGCAGTTAAGTCAGGTATTAAATTTAGGTTTGATATCATGAACTTTAGCACAAGTTATGCCATTTTGGGCCTGTGTTGTTGTTTTTTATTTGACAATTGTCCCCTTCTGATCACACTCTAAGCTTGAGTGAGAGACGTGATAAAAACTTAAGGCATAGGGGCCGGCCCAGTGGCACAGTGGTTAAGTTCGCACGTTCCGCTTCTCGGCTGCCTGGGGTTCGCTGGTTTGGATCCTGGGTGCAGACATGGCACCACTTGGCAAAAGACTGCTGTGGTAGACATCCCACATATAAAGTAGAGGAAGATGGGCATGGATGTTATCTCAGGGCCAGTCTTCCTCAGCAAAAAGAGGAGGATTGGCAGTAGTTAGCTCAGGGCTGTAGGGGAGAAAGACATTTCCTCTACCTTCTCTGGGTTCCTCTGGCCAGAGAACGAATTAAATTCACATGAGACAGAATAGCAGGAGAAAATTAAACAAAGCTTTATAAGGACCATGGCCCAGGGCCTTTCTTCCCGAAGGAAGAAAGGGCACCAAAGAAGTGGGGTGCACAGAGTGGTTATATACCCCCAAACAGGATGTTTCACATATGATTGAAATGCCCCTCCCACAATAGTCACAAGATTGCCCTGTCGGCACAGCACTTGATGGACACAGCAGGTAGTGGGTCTGCTATCTCGGAGGGTGTAACAGGAGGCAAGTCTATTGTCTCAAGCTGGGTGGTCACAGGTGAGTGCAGCAATCGGTTCCTAGCCTAAGGAAAGATGCTTAATCCTTAAGGAAATGCTGACGTTGGGAGGGGGAGGGACGTTGCACCTTTATCTCAAGGGCCTTTGTTCTTGCCATAGGGAATATCTAAAGCAGATATACAATGCATGTTCAACAGCCTTGGTCAGGCCCTTTTGGAAAGACAAGGTCAGGCTGAATTAGATTTACACCAAATGGCTTCCTCATGTACTCCAATATATCCTATTGCTTGCCATTTCTATTTGTCAATGTATACCTGGGAGCTGCTCAGGCAAGCTGAGCAACTCGCCAAAATGGCTGAAACCACCACAGCTGAAATATCACATCCAGCTGAAGACAAAGGAGGATGTTGGGGGTGGGGGGAGTCAGTTACAGGAAGTTACCAGACAAGCAAAATAACCAAATGCAGATTTAAGTCCTTGCCTTCCCCATTGATTAAGAGTTTCTAGAGATAAGGTCATCTCCCCTTCTTCCTGGTAGAGAGGGAGATATCTTTACAGATGGAGAGTTACTTTACAATGTAAATGTCTCTTACAAAGGGTAAGTAAATTCTACTTTTTAGTTGCTTTCCTGTCTGCAAAGTAAAGAGCCACAAATAATCATCATGCCAAAGAGACATATCTTGGGGTGGCCAATTCCATGCCCCCACAGGGCTAATCTTCCTCAAAAAAAAAAAATTTAAGGCATTAGTGCCACTCTCAGCTACCACTCTGTAGTTCTCACAGCTTTGTTGATCCTTGGTGTGGTATCTATAGATCATGATGTTTTGCTTAATCCCTGTGACATTCACATGTCATAGTTCCAGGTTCACAAATTTTAAATCAGTCATTCTCATCATTCCTTTTCTTACATTGCAGTCTTAGGGAGATCATTTGCTTGGCAATTAGTGACTGCAAACATGCATTTAAGGCTTTTCGGAGAATACAACACGCCAAGGGGATTTTTATGATAATTATAAGCAAGACAATTCCCAGTGTTTGGAGTGTACTTTGGAGCCATGATCCCCAAGACCAAAACCAATCAATCAAAATCAAATAAATCAGAGAAAGACCCTGTTGAAGGAGTCATCTTTTTAAGTCAAGCGGCTTGCTTGCTGATCTTATGTAATTGAGTTTCAGTTTCCCCAGAAGTGTTAATCCAGGTGTAGCATGTGATGTTGGCCATAGTACAGACACTTCCTTGCTTAGCTAAAAAATAATTAAGGGTTATCCTATTGATGCAGGGTCAGTGAGCCGAGGAGTCGAAAGAAAGATTTCTTAGACTCTCATGATCTGGCAGGAGTGCTCTTTTATTTAGAGAATAGTGTGGAATAGCATGGGGACGGGACCCATGGGCAGGCAGAGCTGGTGGGTGGGGACAAGACCCACGGGCAGTCAGAGCTCCTGCTGCTGCCGCTTCTGCTGCCCCTGCTGGCATGGGGACAGGGCCCATGGGTAGGCCGAGCTGCTGCTGCTGCCCCCGCTGGCATGGGACAGGACCCACGGACAGTCAGAGCTCCTGCTGCTGCCCCGAGTTGAGGGTTAGGGCTAAATTTAAGGCATAGGTATGTGAGTCATCTCTATACGAAGACAAAGGAAAGAACATGAAAAAAGTTAAAATGGTATCAGTGCAGGTGGGCTCTGGTCGTTGGGTGATCCCATGACTTTTAGACAAGAATCAAATTGGATTAAGTAAAGGTCAGAAGCCACCACCCTAAATCAGTTACATGAGATTGCCAGACAGCAACCAACTTAAGTTCTTGCCTTCCCCGTTAAGAGTTTCTAGGGATAAGGTCATCTCTCTTCTTCTTCCTGGTACAGAGAGGGAGGCACCTTTTACAGATAGAGATTTACCTTACAAATGTAAATGTGTCCCAACAAGGGCAAGTTCCATTCCCCAGAGCCTCCTTCCCTGTCCCAGTTTATCAAAAGCAATCAGCCCCAAATAATCCCGATGCCAAAGAGACATATCCTGGGGTGGCCAATGTCAGGTCCCTACAAGGTCGTCCCCTCTTCCTTCACAAATGCAAATGTCTCTCAAAAGGGCAAGCAAAATTCCAGTCCTGGGAGCCTGCTTCTCATCTGTAGTTTTAAAAATAACCAGCCTAAAATCCTCATCATAAACCGTTTTAAAATTAAGCAGCCTAAAAATCCTCATCACTATGATCAAGAACAACTTTGTACAGAGAGTCTAAAGATTTTTCTGGGCAGTTAATGTCTTAGCAATGGGATCTGCAGTATCTTCAAGAATTAAGGAGAGGTTTCTGATCATAGCCTCATTTACATTTACTCCTAACTAGAGAAGTAGAGCCCTGCCAAAGGAAGCAAATCCTGAATCATGAAAAGCCTCCTAGTAGGTCCTTTCTAGAAAAGTTAGGGGCACAGTTAGATAATCTAAGAGGTATTGCCCATCTGTGTGCCAAGGAGAATGATAATCACCACAGATACAGTTAAATACTGTCAGGGCACAAACCATTTCCACTAAGGTGTTAATGGATTCATTTGCAGGAATTGTTGCATTGGCCTGTTCAAGCCAGGGATCAGTTAGGTTTTCTCCTAGCCTGAAATAAAAGGTTGTTCTAAATTGCAGAGGTTACCCCCTCTTAGCAGTGGCCTGAGAGATGTGGATGATGGTGTTATCTTTCCAGGTCAGTGCCAGAGAGAAGGAAAGAAAGAGAAGGAGAAGAGTTTCATGTTTCAAGTATGAAGTCTTGATGTGTTGTTACGTTTTCTCCAATTTGCCTTTCCCTCTGCGTACATAGTTGAGATGAGAAGGCCTAAAAAGAAATTCCTACTAGGCTCTGCATATCAGCTTCCAGTTTGACCAAATTTCTGATCATAAAATTATTAAATCCTTTCAAATATCTTGTCAGGTTTCAGCTCGGACAAACAGTAAATATTTCTGGAAGTATTGAATAACCCTGTTAATTTTAATTTCAGTTTTTCCTTGGTTGTTTAGGGGAATAATGTAGCAGTTTACCAAAAAAAAACAAATCCTTCAGAGTTTTGTCAGCCCTGGGAGGGGCCCATATGGGGGCATTTAAGTTGATGTTGCAGAATTTGCATAGGGCCTTTGAGGACCACCTCTTTTCCAGTGTCCCAGTTGATTACAAAATCAATGAAATTGAGACGTTAATTTCTTGTCCGGTGTTTTGATAATGGACCCCTAGTTGGGCAAAATGGGAGAGGCCTAGGTGTTGTTTTAAATACATTTTGTGTCTTTAATTTTTCATAGCCTTTGCAATGAATCTTCCAATGAAGCTGTTTTGGAATCCTGAAACCTTTTGTAAGCTTCTGCATACCAATTAAAGTAGGTATCCCATGCTGTTTGTCCAACTTGGGATCCCTCACTCTCTAGTATATTTCTTAAATGAACAATCTTGTCTAATTGGAACATTCCCCATAATGACCATTGTAATTATAGGTTGTTTTTAGTAAAATTTTGTCATCATGCTAGATATCTACAACTTTCAGAACTATAGTTGTTAAACATAAAATAAGCAGGTGTGCTGGAAGTTGGCGCACTCAACTCTTTGTATATAAAGGCTCCCATTTCTTTTAGTTAGGCCTGTGGGTCTCTCAGAGCCAAACTAATACCTAAGAGGGGTGTGCTGTGGAGTTGAAAATTGTGGTGTGTTTCACAGTGTACCTTGGTGCATGGAAATGTTCTTGAGTTTGGTGGGTGACCTAGTGTCAATCTAACCCATTTCGTGACCAATTTATCCTAACATGGGAGTCTTTGGGGTAAGTGGCAAGCTCTCTAACAGCTTTTAAATGCTCAACCTGCGCCCACCAATTTTGCGGCTTTTTGGCTTCCAAGATTCCCATTAGCAAAGGCCTTTACCTCATGTGCACATTAACATACCAGCAGTAACTCATGAACTAGGGACTGGGGAAAGGATTGAACCAGCAGGCTCCAAAGAATGGGGACTGCAAATGATTCCAGAAAAGTGGAGAACTGCCACTGCCAACAACAGTTCCCAATATAGAATCTGGGGAAGGATTCCAAATAGGGAACTGAAGATTAAACCATCAGCAGTTGGCAACATGGAATGTGGGGACTAAACCAAGAGCTGGGGTTTAGATGTTACTGCAGTGTAAGTGAGACCCAGTCTGATCCAGGACCTAGTCCAGTCTTGGACCCAGTCTGGTTCTGGTTGGCAACTACCAACAATTCCTGTGGAACTTTGCACTGAGGGAAAAGATTGAACTAGCAGCCCTCAAAGAATGACTGTGGACCGATTTCACACAAGTGGAGAACTGCAGCTGCCGCAGTTTCCAAGGGAGAATCGGTGGAAGGATTCCAAACAAATGGGAAACTACAGTAGTTCCCAGTGTGGAATCCGAGGACAGAATCAAGAGATGGGGTTTTCCACTCAAAAACCTGGGAATTGTGACCTGAAAAGCTGATCAGATTAGATCAGGAGCTCAGCACAAAAAGAGAGCGGAGCTCAAACTGAGAGGAAATTACCAACAACTCTGGGAAACAGCAAGAAAGATAGTGAACTCAAAAGTATTCGCCGGGCATCATGCCTATGTTTCTCATCTTGAAGCTACTGGAGGTCTCCTTCAACTCCACCAAACCTTTGACCGGAACAGCCACCAAATCTGTTAAACAAACTTCAACGGAATAAATTTGAAGACCTAGTTGGCTTTGTTAAACAATCATGAGTCAGGCAACATACCATCTAGCAAGCAGAGAGATACTCCACAGAGTTATACAAATGCAAACTTTTTATAGCCAGAAGGAGGGTAGGGCAAGGAAGCTATTAGCAAAAGAAAAGAAAGGATTATTTGGGGTCAGGACATCTTTTGAGGGGGGGAGGGAAGGGAATGGCAAGAGTTTTATCATGCAGATTGCCTTTTCTTCCTCTAGGCATGGAGAGGGCCCACATGACAGATTACCTCATTGGTACTGACCAGGAAATTCCGGACTGGTTAAGATTATATTTCTGCAGAAGGTTGAAACTGCGATTAAGTTAAGTATTAAATCTAGGCTTGGTATCATGAGCTTTAGGACAAGTGATGCCGTTTTGGGCCTGTGGTTTTTCTCTTTAATGCTATTCTTTGAGTTTTAAAAAAATTTCTGAGGCCATCATAGTTTTAATGTGCAAGAACTCTTTTTTGTTCTTTGATTTTGCATATCAGAGTCTGGTTTTTAATGGATGCTATAATATCTAGGAGGATATTAATTAGAATTTTTAAAATTGCCTTTGTCCTCTGAATTATATCTTTATCTCAGTTTTCCTTTCTCCTATTTCTTTCTCCTCTGGGGTGTTTCTTTTTGTTGATCTTGATCCTTATTTATTTGTTTATTTATTTATTTATTGCAGTAACATTGGATTATAACATTATATAACTTTCAGGTATACATCGTAATATGTTTCAAATTCTGTGTAGATTACATCATGTTCACCACCCAAAGACTAATTACAATTCATCCCCACACACGTGTGCCTAATCACCCCTTTTGCTCTCCTCCCTCCCCTCTCCCCCTCTGGGTAACCACCAATCCAATCTCTGTTGCTATGTGTTTGTTTGTCATTGTTCTTATTCTTCTACTTATGAGTGAGATCATATGGTATTTGACTTTGTCCCTCTGACTTATTTCACTTAGCATAATACGCTCAAGGTCCATCTATGTTGTCACAAATGGCTGGATTTCATCATTTCTTATGGCTGAGTAGTATTCCATTGTGTATATATACCACATCTTCTTTATCTATTCGTCCCTTTTGGGGCACCTAGGTTGCTTCCAAGTCTTGGCTATTGTGAATAAGGCTGCGATGAACATAGGGGTGCATGTATCTTTATGCATTTGTGTTTTCAAGTTCTTTGGATAAATACCCAGCAGTGGAATAGCTGGATCATATGGTAGATCTGTTCTTAATTTTCTGAGGAAACTCCATACTGTTTTCCATAGTATAGTTGATGCTATTTTCCTCAGATGTCTGGCTATCATTAGTTGTCTGTTCAATTGTATGAATAAAAGATTGTACTGATTAATATAGGTAACTTTACCCCCTTTGTTATATAGATTTTTTTTTTGTCAGTAGACTTTTTCTTTGAAAGAGATGGCTGATTTGATTGTGTGTAAGTGTGCATGGAGTATTGATGGGTAGATCTTCCTAAAGCATACGGGATCAGGCAGATTCATAATGGCCACTCACTGTTGCCAAAGTAAGGTGAGATTTCCTGGGGGTGTGGTTGAAGTGATTTGATGTGTATTATTCCTGAATAGAAACAGTTTTCCTTTATTTCCCCTTTATCAATTGTGTTATGCAACCTCTGAGCTATTTTGCTGATAGGTTCTAACACCCATATTAGAAGTGATCTCTGTTGTTTGACAACTTTTTAAAAGATCAGATCTTTAGGCTTTATTCTAGGGCAGTGGTTCTCAAAGTGTGGTCCCCAGACCAGTATCATTAGCATCACCTGAAAACTTGGTAGACATGCAAATTCTAAGGCCCCCTCTCAGACATACTGAATAAGAAATTTTGGGTAATGAATCCCGGAAACTTGTTTTAACAAGTTTTCCAGGTAATTCTGATGCGTGCTCAAGTTTGAGAACCACTATCTTAGGAGCAAAAGCTGCTATTTCCAGTTGCTCTTTTTATGTGTGTGTGTGTGGGGGGGGGGGGGGGGTGGGGTAGAATCCCCTGGTCCAGGTGTTTTGAATGCACTTTATTGAATGGAATAAAGTGATGAATGCTCCTGGGCCCAATCTCTGCTTTTGTTTCATTAGCTCCTGTTTAAGTTTTCACTTGTGACTCTTTTTAGCAAAACTGCACTTACATTTGCCATCCTAGGATGAGGTTTTATCTGCTCTCGTTATCCACCAATCCAGTACCAGTTGCTTTTTACTTTCCAGGAATTCCTTAAATGTCATTGGTACCCTTTCTTGATTTATAATCTTGAAAAAGTTTTATTCTTTTAAAAAATCCTTTTAGTTATTTCAGTCAGACTTTGATGCTGGGGGGTGGAATATTGTTTGCTTCTGTCAAAATGTCATTTGAGTTAAATCCTTTTCTACTAAAGGCCCATTAGGAAATAAAATTGGCTTTCTGACTCCTTGTGATTCGTTTTGCAGAATTGTGTAAATTCATAACCCTAGGTAATTATTAAACTTTAGAACTGTAGAACAAATAATGGCAGCATTGGGTTGAACTTTAGAAATCATTTACTCGTGAATACCCATTTTACATAGGAGGAATCCAAGAGTTAGGGAGAGTAGCTTGCTCTAGTTCAGAGAGCAAGTTATTGCCAAGCTGAGGCTAAAACCTAGAATGGACTGATGATTCTCTGTTTCTAGAGGAAATGTGGAAGAAACAAAAGCAGAAGGACAACTTTATGTCCTGGACAAATTTAAGCCAAGGATAACTCCATTTTTGAACTTTATGTCTTGGAATAGAGTATCTTCTACATTTACACTGATCCAACTTTCAGAAAATTGGGCTGTTAGACGTCACAGAGGGAATTAGCAGCTGTTATAAGAAAAAGCAAAAGGATTGTTGCCAGACTTCATAAATCTTGGCATATTTGAGAAAACATCCCAATATTACATATGCTTATTCATGTGTGTAAACCTTTGGCTATGGTGCTTTGTCAGTATACATATGTTTTGCATTATAAGTTGGTCTGAATTCTGGATTGCATGTTTCTTAGTCCCTGAGAACCCAAGTGCCTTCCCCTCTTCTTCCGCCAGCTCTCCATGCTTCATTTCTCCTAGTCGTTTGCTCTTCCCATTTCCTCTCTGCACAAAGCAGCAAAGGGGGTAGGCAACATGGTCAGAGCCGTCAAGAAGTTCATTCTAGTTCTTCTCCTAAACCCTGCCTTCCCTTCTAGCCTTAGTGGCAACTACTTTTTGATTTCCACCTGGTCCACAGTTTTAAGTTCAAACCGTATCAGCCATGCTTTAGCAGAGTGGAAAAGTAAGTACTGTTTAAAGAACTGGGAAACTAGCAAAAAGTGGGTAGAGGATGTAGTGAGGAAGTAACTCAACCACTCTCAAAGCTGGATAGGCACAGACTCTTGCCTACAGAAACAATCACTAAACTGAAATACGTGTCCTGAAAAAGCAATGTACAAGCACAGAGACATTATCAGATTGATTTTTTTACTCAGGTTTTAGCCAAAAAGGAACACAACCAACTTCTCTGAAAAATTGTGAGAGGAAAATAAAAACCATGTTTGCTCTGTAAATGGACTTATCCTAGAGTTTTCTGTTCTGGGTCATAGTCATACCCCATGTAGGGTGACCATGTAGGGTGAGTCATGAGGCATGCTGAAGCAGCAGAAACAAACCAATGAGGAAAGGGAATAAAGCTAGGATTTAAGGGCCAAAGAAAGATCCTGAAATATTTGTTCTGTTGGCCTATGAGCAATAAATGAATTGGTATATGAAATACCAATTGTTAATCATTCCTTTGGTTTAGGCAGTTATTTTCAAACTTATTTTTAAGCAGATGAAATTTTTAATTTGTCAAATGAAAACTTATATGGAATCTCAGTGTAAAATAAAGAAAAAAAAGAGGTGGAAACAGAGTTACTCCAGTTGGAGCATCTCCACAAGGCACAATTAAAAAACACTGAGTTAAGGCATTCAAGACTCTTTTGAAATGCAGTAATAATTACCTGGGCGGTAGAACATATTAAGCTGTTTTCCAATAGCATCTTTGGAAAAATTAAATAAACCATGTCTGGAATACTGTGTTAGCTTCTGGGCACTGTAGTTTAAGAGAGGCATAGAAAACTTGAAATTCATCCAGAGTATAATTTCCACGTTTCAGTGTTTCATAGTGGAACTGAGATTTGGAATCAGTGATTTTTAATTCAAGTTCCACCTCTGCCATTTGGTACCTATGTGACCTTGGGCAATTCATCTCTCTCAGGCTCAATTTCCTATCTGTGAAGGGGAGCAGAATATGTCACCTGCAAATATTCCTTTTTGGCATAAGGATTATCTTGAGCTGGTTATTTTTAAGAAACAGTAGACATAGGAAAAGCTCTGAAAACCAAGTAGAAGTTACCCTTTTGTGGGAGACATTTAATTTATAGGGTAAACATCCATTTGTAAGGTTATCTTCCTCTCTGTACCAGGAGGAGGAAGATGATTAAATCTCTAGAAACTCTAATCGATGGACAAGACATGAACTTAGATCTGCATAACAACAATACCCTGGTATGGTTAACTGGCTCCCACTCCCCATACACATACACAACATCTTCTTTTGCCTTTAGCTGGAGGTAGTATGTAAAGTGATGGCTTGGACCATTTCGGAGAGTTACTCAGTTGTCCTGGGTCTCTCTCATGTGTACAGGAGGTATACATGTTATTAAACTTCTGTCTCTTTTTCTCCTGTTAATCTGTCTTTTATTACAGGGAGATTTCAGCCAAGAACCTAGAAGGGTAGAGGGAAAATTATTTTTCCTCCTCTATACCTGCTTTGTGGCCTGGAGGGCTGGTCTTTAGGGACCATGTGTTCCTTTTCCTTCTGGCTTTTGATGGGGTTTAGTCAATGGGAGGTACCAACAGGAAGTTGGAGAGTGGGAGAAAAGAGAGATTGGGACATCTATTCCAGATTCTCTTCTTGATGTAGTTTGGAATTGGCTTTCTTCTTCTACTGAACACCTCAGCTCCTGTCCGGTAGCTCTCCCCTGAAGTTCTCTACGGGTTCTGATTACTCCTCCTTCCCCTGACTCTTCAGGTAAGGGCGGTGGTAAAGGCTTCTGGTCTCTGTTGCTAACCCTGGAATGCTTCTCCTTCCCTGGTTTATTTCCCTTAATTTTTCCCACAACATTATAAGTAGTCTCTTTATTAAATTGTACTTTAGAATGTGCCACCTGTTTCCTGAGGGGGAACCCTGATTCGGTGTGAAAAAAATGTCCCCAATTATTGGCATGTGTTTGAGTTTTTGGAAAATATTCCATAAAAGAAGTATGGGTATGTTGTTTCCTCAGGCACATTTATTATGGGAAT